TAGCACAAATGGGTCGGCTCGACCGGGGAAAGACCGAGTTGTCACAGAATACCAGCTTAATACTGCTGTATTTTGTAAGATGAGTGTAGAGATCCGGAGACCCTTTTTAACTGGAAACGAGGCATTCCATCTTAGTCCTCAGGAGCGACAACGCATCCGCGTTTTGATTCTTAATCGAGGATAAATGTAGATGTGTACGGGCCACAGCATCCACTTACCATCAGGTGGATTGTGTGCTCGTTTGTCACCCTTATTCGATAAAACAACACCGGCGCTAGACCACAAAACAATTACCATCACTTTCCTGGGGATAAGTTTTCGTTTAGGGAATTGTTTAAGTGCTGAACCAGGATCCAACCAACGTGCTGAGCACTTGCGATTGTCAAATAGAATCCATTTTATGTCGCAGGTAACAATGCGGTTCAAAAATTCCTTCATTTGAGTTCGTGGGACATCCACTTGTCAAACTTTTTTACTTTACCAATTTGACGCAAATTGACCAATATTGTTTTCGTGCTAACGTCGAAAGATACTGCTAATTCAGTCGTAGTTTGAGTATCATCAGCTTCTACAATCACCTTCAAATCCTCATTGTCGATCAAAGTTTTCGGACGACCACTGGGTTCATTTTGCAGGTTGAAATATGCAGAACGGAAGCGGGCAAATCATAACAGATAGTGCTTTCGATTGTAGTATTTGCTCCCTAAACGTCGTTTATGTTGTGTATCGCTTGTGCCGCGTTGATGTCACGACGCGAGGTACTCATGTCATGATGACGAAAAAGGTTAAAATGCGAAGAAAACATAACGCTAATCAATAAACAAATATCTAATTGGAATTCTTAACCAAAAAATAAATTACATACTTTGATTTGAAATGGCCAGGACTGCACAATGGAAATTTTATAAGTAAAGACCTATTATAATCGATACTGATATATTTACACAAAATAACAAAATCAAATGTTAAATATAAAAACGAAGCCGACCACGATTCTCACCAGAGTTACTTAGTCGCAAAGCAGTTCTGAGATAGTCATCGGTGTGTAAAAGATAGTTCGCAGATCCGGCAAATTGACTTGTCGTCTACAGTTGTGATATTTTTGGGATCCCGCCAGCACGTTTTGCTTTTTTCATATTTTTCATTGTATTCTTTTAGAAATTATTTTTAAAATAGTATTTCCAAATAATCCCTATCTTTTTTATCTGTAAGTAATTGTGTAACTTTTAAATGATTTGACCGATTAATGTAATATTCTCACATTACATATATCCTGTAAAGACGATGGCGTATCTATGTAATGATGATCTATGTAAGGATCAGATAGGTGGTGCTGTAGCCAAGTTGTTTTTTAACAAATTCTAGATTATTGAACCAAAACGACTAACATACAATATATTTTGTCGAGTTGTTGTCAAAGAAGAAAATCACAAAATGTAGAATCGATTAGTGATCGTGTCTTGAAGTCTGGCAAGCTTGGGTTTAGTTTAAATTTTATTAATTACGGGATCCTAAGCAGATGGTAGTACCCAGCATATTGAAATTATGATGTTTTTTAGTTTCAATAGCCTCAAGTGTCATCCTTGGTAGGAATCGATGTTCTTTCGCTAGGATTTGTGGTCTATCAAATCTGATGTAATGGTGGGGCCCTCATAGGATTCAAAAACTCTAAATCTTAAGAATTAAAAGAAGTTCGGGTGCTTTGGACACCCGAAACTTTGGAAGTTATAAACAAAGTAAATTAAACGCGATAAAATCCGTACAATTAGTTTTAATCAATATGTAGTGTTCGCGTAAATATAAGAAATCATTACTCCTCCTTTCCTTATTAAAGTTAAAATATAAAGTCACAGCCATTCTATACGTCCCACTCTGGTGCTCAGAGATGAGACATCTCATTTCTGAGAGGGTTTTAAGGCAAGTTTCCATCGTCCTGCCCCATTTCGTGTTGGCGGACTACACATGTCTTAGAAATATTATTTGTTTCGCAGATATGCGGATTTCTTCTCGGTGTTTTCCTTAGTACGTAACTGTAATTAAGTAAAAATACTTATTTTAATTTTGGCCTGTTTATAACTTACTTGTATAGAATAGGCGTGATAAACGTACACTTTTTCCACGGCGGCCTGCCTCAACGGAGGCTAGCCAACGGCGCAGGACAAGATTATAGTGCCCAAGTGTATGCGCAAGCACAGGTGCACTCTCTATTCCCTCACTCTCATAATCCGATGGGACGGTAAACCGACACGACCGGAGAGAGATCAGACGCAGGAACAACGGCTTTACGTGCTTTCCGAGGCACGGGGGTGAGACACCGCCAACTTCATGACTATGGGTAACTACTGAGAATTTCTGGACGGAAAAACTCGATAATTAATTTTTTGGCCCGACCCGGGATTCGAATCCAGGACCTCATGATCAGCAGTCGCACTACTACAACCACTAGACCAACGAGGCAGTAACAACATATATACAGTAAATATATTGAATACGAATTAAGTATTTGTAGCCACCAATAATATAAAAACACGACATTGTATACCTCGGACGTTGAGAAAACAAAATGGCCGGGTTAGAACCTCAATAAAGTTTTATTGTGTTGACCGCCGTGTCCGACAGTCGGTAAACATGGAACAATATTCTCGACACCTCATTTTGATGCATGAAGTCGCTGGACCATGGCGGAGTTGCATCAGAGATATTAAAGAATTATAGATAGTGCTTGTCGCCTTTCGAAGTTTAATACTAATGGTGTCTAATTAGCACGTTTTGACGCATATTTAAGAAGATATCTGGGTAATAAAAAATTTGAGAAATAAGTTTTTTACGATGTATTGCTGTAGCGTTGACAACGGAAAAGGCCAATTGCAACTCGGGTTGATTATACCTAAGAAAAATTGTCGAAATCACGTTTTCCATTTCTTACTTTTCCTGTAGCTATACTCGTAGACAAAGGTCAATGGCGAACTGCCAAACAAATTTTTGTTGTCATTTTTTCCTTGCATCTACAAATGAAAAAAATATGTAATAAATAGTGCTTTTAACTCTAAAAAATGTTTTATCAGTCATACTACTGCAGGAAGTCTGGAATTAAAAATATTCCATTTTGAACAAAATTCACAACAACAGGCTTTATTGTATAAGAAATTCACCTGCCTTAATTGGCAAATCGTTACAAAAACAACAACTACATGTTATAATTTCCAATTATAGTTAAGTAGAGTAATTATTAGCATGAGAGAATACTAAAATAACGCATTGACATTGAAATAACGCTGAGAAGAGTTTTGTAAATAAAATACATATAAGATGAAGCTGTGTGCCATAAGACCTTTGCCTACATTATTTGGCGAAACGTAACAACTACAATAACTAGTCAATTTAGTTTTAATTATTAATGATTTTTGATTAGATAATATTTAAACTATTTTTTTTGGTATCTGTACCACTACACATACATAGACGCTCAATAATTCCATTAACAATTTGCCACAACCAGGGTTCGGAACCGGTTTAAAAAAGAGCGGTTAATTTCCATTAATTAATTACCTGTAAATATATCGCTCTTTCAACTATCCGTAAAACAAGTAACCGGCTTTTATTTACCCTAAACAATAAAGGTTACCGTTTACTTACGAACAAATGAACAAATGGTTTTGACACCCAAATTAACCGGTTGATTCCGTAAAACGTAAAGGCAGTTATGAGCGGGACCTCAAAACGTAAAACTATCTGATTTAGTTTGATTTGTATTTTTTCCCAACATAAAGCAAGACACCATGAAATCCACAGCTCAAATTGAGCAGCTAAAGAAAACATGCCGCACAAGACGTCTACCACCAAAATTATATTGCAGTGCTACACGAAACTCTTTACAGAGAACGGTCATCCATTTAACTTAATTGAAGATAAAACGTTCAGAAATCTAGTGAAGTCAAAAACGGACTTAACACAGAATCAGCACCAAGCAATCAATATTAGAAAGATACGATCCAGTATACGAGATATGGCTCACGCAATCGAACTAGACGTTACATCTATTGAGTTACGAAGATTTCTAGATCTAAATATACAGCAGTGAGTTGTTTGATGAATCTGACATCGAAACTATCAGTGACTATAACTAGAATGGGAAGACAAAAAAATATATATTTATATAAGCTGGAAAAATGTAGTTTTGGTGAAACCGTCGGCAAGTGTTGGTGTTGAAGTTAGTAGTGTAGTAGTTAAATATCAGTTAATAGTTTTATTCAAAGAGACATGTAAATAAAACCAAGTACCAGCTCATCTATATATCCATATATATATATATATATATATATATGTATATATATATATATATATATATATATATATATATATATATATATATATATATATATATATATATATTATGTGTGTGTATATATCTCACAGAATACCAGCGTAAAGCGTAATGCTGCTGTGTTTCTATGGTGAGTGTAGAGAACTGGAGACTCTTTTTTACTGAAATCGAGGCATTCCATCTTAGTCCTCAGAGGTGACAACGCATTTGCATTTTAATCCTTAATGGGGGATAAATGTGGATGTCTATGGGCGACAGCATCCACTTACCATCAGGTGGACTGTGTGCTCGCTTGTTACCCTATACTATATAACAAACTACAATATAACTACAACGTGTTTCTACCACATTTAAACAACCTTTAAAGGTATAGGATATCCTTACTAATTAATTTCAGTAACAGTGCAGTTAATTTCGTCTGTGTCCTTTCACTCTATTAAAAAATATTTTTCGTAACATCTTGTACATCATGGTAAGATCGTACATGGTAAGATATGGTTCAATTCCTCATTAATGAGATGTGAAAAATGGTCATTTCTTTTGTCCTTTAGAATGCTCTGAATAAGACAAACAACTTTTTTTTATCGTGTTTAGACACGACTTCTTGTTTTACTTTATCTCCCTCTGAAGTGTTACTCATTATTGGTTTTAGCAAATACGGAGTTAGAGGTTGGTCCTAATCACGAGCTTCTAATTCTAAAAAATCTGGATATCTGCTTCGTTTGAGCCATAAAAAGAACAAATACTGTAAGACATAATTCCATCAACATAATAAGAAATCATGTGTTCTATTAAGTAGGTTCATCAAAGTTATTAAAGTAAAGATGCAAAGCGTAATTCTAGTTGAAAACATTAAATATAATTAAACAGTCAATATAAATGCATACGGTGAAATTAAACTAAATATCGAAACTTAATTTTAAAGTGGAGATAACTCACAATTAATTCAAACAGAACTTACCTCTGTTATTCATATTATTGCGTTACGAAAGATGACTAAAAGATATACTTTCTTAAAGATTTTTATTAAATGTTTAAGAAAGTATAATAAGGTACTAAGAAAAAATACAATTTTTAAAAATTTTGTCTGGTCTGTCTATTTGTTCTGGCTAATCTCTGAAATGGCTGATGAAATATTAAATCAAAGTATTTTCGTAATTTAGGCTTTTTTTGCACTTTAATACTATATATTCTATTATAGTAACGCTTAAAATAAAATATTTTTGCTTATAATAATGTTTGTATGCGACCGGCAAGATAACTCTGACGCATATTTTCGTAAAACGCTATGGAGGGATTGTCTTCACTCTAAAAAAAAACATCATTAAAAACTATGATTTGGCGTTGTAGAGACTAGTGTAGTGTGGCTCCATGAAATTATATATATTTGTGTTAAGTGTGGAATAAGAACAGTATAATTAAAGTCTTAAGTAGAGAAACACGTCTTCCTTTTATTTAACAACCGTTCAAAATTACATGGCGACCCTGCCAGTCGGTGCGTGCGCGACTCCGCTCGCTGCGTGCACCGGCTGACCACTGATAGTAAAATTATAATAAATACGTAAAAAAATGTATATTAAAAATTATTACACATTCCCGGATTGAGAAAATTAATTAAAGTCGTGTAGAGCCAGCCATCAAAAAGTTATATCATTGTGTTTAATATTTACAAAATAAAATTAAAATATAAGAAGTACAAAATCAAAAGGCAAAGATGCATCAAAAAGGATAAGAGAAATAACTTTTTCACTCCGGATAAGAAGAATATTGGTTGAGAAGATCTAAATTGAAGTACGCAATGGTGTTCACATAGGAAATTTTACACTATCAAGATATATAAACAATTTTCAAAAACTCGTAACAACCAAGAGAAACAAAAAAGGAGATATTTATCAAAACATAAAATTATCAAGAATTTAATCGAGTGGCCAGTTTTTAGGAGGATTGAATTTTTTGTGTACTCCATCTACAAGAAAACAGAAAGTATGTTATATGCAAGAAACAAAAAAAATAAATAGAGACTATAATGTGAAAAATATGCTTGATGTATCTGCAAAACAATTACTGTAAAAAATGTAAATTGTATGATTATATTTTAAGGTTAATAATTTTAAATATTTATCTCTTTTAAAATTCTAATTTCATAAAATTAAAAAATATAATAACTTTAGTCACCAATCATATTTAGAAATGTTTTTTACCAATTTTGTTTACTCATTTTGTTCATTTAATAGACGGAACACTCTCAATAGAAAGCAAGTGCTACTTGTATATTCATATCCTTATTATTATGGCGTGATTATTTTAATTATCTATTTTGTTCTAAAATATTTAACATAATGAATGAGAAAAAAATAGGAACTTCATTATATTGCTATCAGATAAACGACAACTCAATTAATACATTTTGTAAAAGATAAATTGATCGATGAATAATATTAATTTAAAACGCAGCTTAACTTAATAACACAAAAGAATTTTAACTGATATATTTTATTAATAATGAAAATTGCAATATTTTATACAGATATCAGATATTATTTAAGAATGCATCGAAATGTAATATCATGTTTTCTTTGTACATATTAACATTGCGCATCAAATTCTAAACAATGCTGACGTGATCTTTTGCATATAAGGCATCGGAATATTACACGTAGTTGATACAAAATGATGCATTAATATACACTACTGTTGTCTCCTGATTTACCTTCAAAATATTGACTTTATACTTTTTCATTTACTTTATCTGCGATTAAAATCCAGTATTCAATTGATAAAAAAAGACTTGATAAAATAAACTATTATTTTGTAATACAAAACTGTATAGTAACTGTATACTCGATACTTTTTTTTTGAGATAATATGATTATTGAATTTATATAGTAAATGGAAACTCTAAGAAAAATATTAAACAACTTATATAACAAAAAAAAATACGAAATAGGATTAATTACGTCAAAACATATAGTTTATGTAGTATGGAAAAAACAATTGTTTGTGCCTTAAAAGTATAAACTGTTTGCATAAAAGAGTAAAAGAAAGGATAGGAAAAAAAGGGTTAAGTTAATTTATAGAAAGGAAACTGTATGAGAATGTTGAGGTTTTGATATGGATGTGTGAAAGTTGAAGATAGACTGCGGCAAAGAAAGGAATACTTATATAATAGTATGGATTTCAAATGTATATGTAGGATGATGTAAGTGATATTTAGATAAATTATTAGGAACTATGCAATAACTTTATTGGAATGAAAGAATTAGGCTATCGAACATTATCTTAGCCAATGTTTAGGGCCCAAACTCTGGTTATGTTAATAGCCCGATATGCTTAATTGAAAGGCGATAGAATGAGATTGAAATAATATAAAAGTAACCGATACAGACAAAGATTTATGAAGATAATAAAAAAAGATGACCTTGAGAAATAAATGATGGAGAGATATGGAAACGTCCATCACTGGTAACGCATATAGTCCTCAAGCAGGGTATGCTTCCGGGATAGGATGATAAAATAAGGATTTACGGGTACTAGGGAACAATACCTTCAGTACAAGTGATTTACTCATATTAGTACGGTTAGGGACCGGAGAAGTCTTAAATTTGTTACCTTTAATAATGGTACATTGAGGTCACATCCTTCGTTGGATCATGGTGCGAACATAGTTTTCCTCTGTGACAATTGTTGGAGTCCTTTAAAAGTGACTTAAAAAACGTAGACCTCGAGGTTGTGCGCACAACCCAAGTTACACTATTACCTTGCTACAGTATGAAAAAAAATTTATGTACCCATAAAATAAAATGATTAAAATACCCAAGTAAATGGGGGGCCATATGTATGTGTATAAAGTACCCTCATGATAAATATCATGAAATGAAATATAATTGAAGTGAATTGAAACTCCGGTTCCCGATATTTAATAAATAAATACATATATGTGTGAATAGAGAGGAATAAAGCTAGCTAAATGTCAAAATATTAATTAAAAAAGAGAATGTAGGTACAAGATTTATGAAAAGAAATGATAATAAAAAGGCCTAACAATCTACAAAAAATACAAGGTAATAAGGGGATCCCCGACCAAATCCATAGGGTAGACTATAGATATCAAAATTGTTCTTCTCAATGTTTAAATAAATTAATGTTTTGTTACATAACTGTTACAGTGATATTTTAATTTCTTTTGTATACGCTATAATTAACATCATAATATTTCTAACAACGTTAAATTAATACTTATATTCATGTTATAATATATTGTTGTTATCGTAAAATTAGGTGTGAATCACACCGTGTGGTCAGAGTTCGATGTAATCGCAAACATTTCCGTAAACGTACTTTGGAATTTAAAACAAAGGTGTCTCAAATCGCTAGCACTGCTAAGATTGCAATTTGTATTTTGATCTATTTGTTGTTATGGTAGTCATGACGACTTATGTCCCCATTATTATTTCTTTGTTCTCTTAATTTTAATATGCAATATAGTAATTTATTTTCGATTTCATTATGTTTAACTTTTAAAGATTTTAAACTATTATAATTTATTACTTTAAAATAGTACTTACTTGTGTAGATTATGAGAATATTTACTTCGTTTAATACAATTTTGAAACTCATTACATAATGTATATAATTAATTGATTTAAATTTTGTTGTGCCCATATTGTGAGTCCCAATCCCTGACTGACAATAATGTAACTAAATATTATACTAGACTATAAGATATAAATTTGTGAAAGACGTACGAAAATTTATGAATAAGATATGGAATACATAATTATAAATAAAAAGTATTGACAGTATGTAGGTGTGAGCAAAGGAAATAAAAATTATCGGAGGTTAGCATATCCATATACAATCGGCCTGATCAGCTGAGTGTTTGGAAAACCTAATAACCGATTAATTTTTAAGGTTGTTCGGATACTATAAAATGCGGGATGAGTTTTAATGTATTGGTAATGAGGAAAATGAGAGTTTTCCTTTAGAAATGTATAGTAATATTGCCCATAATCTTGATCATGTATGTATGCCGTGCCGAGAGAATTTTTATAATTTATATTTTTATTAGAATTAAATTTTATATTTAGTTTTATAAGTTAAAAAAAACAAATGTATTAATTTATTTTTTTTATTTTTTTTGTCGATGGGAGATGTAGTATGGCTCCACGAAATTATATATATTTGTGTTAAGTGTGGAATAAGAACAGTATAATTAAAGTCTTTAGTAGAGAAACACGTCTTCCTTTTTATTTTATGTATCCTAGTTAAAAAAAGGATTGATTTTTAATGAACTGTCATTAACAAAAAAATATGCGTCGCAGAATACGTTTGAAGTCTGCGGCATTGAACTAACGTGTATTAAATTAATAACTGTCTGTCTCTACAGAACACCCCAATTAGATCCGACCCAGTTTCTATGCACACTAAATAATCTCTTACACGATTTAACTATGAAATACCGATCTAGAGCACAAATAGTATTGGCTGGTGATTTTAACATAAACACATTAAAAAGAGACAATATCACTAAAGAACTACAAGATTTATCCTATAATTACAATTTAAAAATACACATTGATGTATCCACACGAAAGTCATCTTGCATCGATCATATTTTAAGTTATATTCCGAATGCAACTGCAGCAGTACTACCACTTCATCTATCTGATCACGACACAGCGCAATTATTAAGGTTTCCTTTAAAACGCGATATACAAAAGCATGCGATATAAATTATATTTATAAAAGAGATTATAACAAAGATAATATTAGGAAATTTAGAGAATTTCTACAAAAAATGTATTGGTCAGAAGCGTATGCGGCAAATGATGCTAGCGTAGCTTTCAGTAGTTTTCATGATTTGTTGTGCCTTTTTTTATAATCTTTGCTTTCCAAAAGTACGAATTAAAGTAGATATAAATAATAATAAAAAACAAAATTGGATAAGTAAAGGGATCAAAGCAAGTTCTAAAACCAAACGATTCTTAAGATATAAGTATTACAGGAAAACAAATGCTGTTAATAAAGCTAAATATATGAAATATTCCAAACTATTATAGAAATGTATTCATAATTCAAAAAAAATTGCCAACATAGTTTATAAATAAAAATGACAAGTGTAAGGCCACGTGGAACATTACTAAAAAGGAAATAGGTAGCTCACGTGACAAAAATGACATAGAAAAAATTATAATTAATAACAGTGTTTTGACGGACCCAATAGAAATAGCCTCTGCCTTTAATAATCACTTTATTAATTCGACGCACGAAACAACACATACAAAAACAAAAAAAATGCTAAACAACACTCATAACATCAACACTATGTTTCTCAAACCAATGTCGGAAAACGAAGTTAGAAGAAAGATAATGTCGTTAAAAAATACTAGATCTGCAGGCTATGATGACATAAGTACAAAAATTCTAAAAAATTGCATCGACGAAATAGTAGGAATCTTGACCCATTTAATAAACCTATCATTTTCGTGTGGAACTTTTCCAGATCCATTAAAGTTATCCATTGTCAAACCACTATATAAAAAAAGGAGAGAAACATATCGTCAATAATTATCGCCCAATAACATTGATACCTATTATGTCCAAAATTTATGAAAAGTGCATGTACAAAAGAATAATCGAATTCTGCAACAAATTTAATATTATATTTAACGAACAATACGGATTTCAAAAAGACAAATTTACTACGTTGGCCGTTTTTTCTCTCCTAAAAATAATCCTATCAAATTTGAATAATAATCACTTAACTACAGGGCTTTTCTTTGAACTGTCTAAAGCTTTCGACTTAGTTTCACACGACCTACTGCTACAAAAACTTGAAAAGCTTGGGATTAGAGGGCCCACTCTTCAGTGGATATCACCATACCTCAGTAACAGACAGCAATGTGTTACAATTATGAAAATAGATGAAAATAAGGATTTTATACCGTACTCGTCTGAATATAGACTCAATAGGTATGGCGTTCCACAAGGAAGTGTGCTTGTTCCTATTTTATTTATATTATATATAAATGACATTGTTAATATAACAAATCATAAATGCATATTATTCGCGGATGATATTTCAATAATTGTGACTTCTAATAAAAAAAGATAATACTATTAATGACCATGAGACTGACATAAATAACACTATAGATAAATTAATTGAATGGCTTGATATAAACAATTTAAAAATAAATCTTGACAAATCAGTATATATACAATTCAATAAATGTAATAATAAAAAATATAATATTAATCTCAACATACCAAAAATAAAAGCAGTAACAAATACAAAATTTCTAGGAATAAATATAGATGAAAAATTTAACTGGAAATTGCAAGTAAACGATGTATCTACGAGATTAAATAAATTTGCATACGCCCTTAAACATTTAAAAAACGTTACCAACATAAAAACGGCTGTTCTGTCCTACCATACGTCGAGTCAATACTGCGCTATGGACTTGTAATCTGGGGTAATAGCACGGATCAAAATAGAGCATTTCGCGCACAAAAAAAAATGTATTCGAGCAATATGTGGGCTTAAACCAACTGAATCATGTCAACTGTTGTTTAAAAAACTTGACTTATTACCCCTACCATGTCTTTATATTTATGAAATATGCATGTTTGTATGGAAGCATAAATATTTATTTAACACGGCGGATAATGTAAACCCTCGGATGCGGCGAAACCCATACAAACTCATATTAAGTGACAATCCTAGAATAAGTAAATATAATAAAAGCTGTTTATCTATGGGTGCTGTAAAGTTTATATAACGAAAATTACCAAAGTTAATATTAAAATGTTAAATACTCGAGTATTTAAATCAATGTAATTACTGGAATACACTAGTATATAAGAATATAGCATTTGGACTATATTAACATAGTTATAGTACGAGAAAATTTTTGGTACTGCTATGTTCTCTCTAGCAAAACATGATGTGAATGTATATTTGTATTTTCAACCATGTTTAAGCAAATAAATATTATTATTATTATTTGGGGTATCTATATAGTTTTCTCATCTGGTTGGGTTATATAAATATATAATTATAAATTAAAATGAAACGATAAATATACATAAATATAAATAAAATAAAATAAATACAAAAATACATAAATAAATAAAAGCCCAACCAGATGGAAGCCCTCGGCAGGGGAGACCAAACGGCCGAGGGTTAGGAGGAAAGGGAAAGAAACCGGCGGACGATGCGGGCGGTATCGAGGAGCACCGCCTTTTGCATTTGAGCCCGGAGCGGTCCGTCACGGAGTCCCAGTCGCCTCAGGTGACCCGAGAGGCTGACTGGGATTAGCCCATTCGCAGAGACGACTACAGGAATAATTTCGGCCGGCAGACCACCCCACATATCGGTCACCTCGTGAGCCAGGTCCAGATATTTTGTTCGTTTATCTGTTTCGGCTTTCACGAGGTTCTCGTCATACGGAATGGTAATGTCGACCAAAAATATCCTTGACTGTGCCCGGTCCATCAGCACAATATCAGGCTTATTCGCAAGAATAGTCCTGTCTGTGATGATGGCCCGGTCCCAGTAGAGCCTAGCGCGGTCATTTTCGAGCACGGCTTCCGGTAAGTACTTGTAATACGGCAATTTCCGATCCACGAGACCGTATTTCAGAGCGAGCTCCTGGTGTAGAATTCTGGCTACTAGGTTGTTCCTGTGCAAGTACTCAGAGTTAGAAAGCGCCGAACAACCGGAGATGACATGCCTAAGTGACTCACCGGGATGGCGACAAGCTCGACAGACGTCGATGGTGCCATCCTTTAGGATGTATCTCCGATAGTTGTTGGTCTTAATAACCTGATCCTGTATTGCACAGACAAAACCCTCGGTTTCCCCAAAAAGGTCACCGAAACGTAGCCAGTTGAGGGAGGCGACTGTATCTACGAAGGGATCATGTAGAACCCTGTAGTACCTCCCGTGGAGCTCCTTCTCCTTCCATACGGTCTCCCGGTCGGAAATGCTTTGTACTGCCGGGTCTTGCCATTGCTCGTTGGCTAAGGATAGAGGGGTAAGTCCTTTATCACTAGAAATGACGTCATTATAGAATGGATCATCCGATCTCACCAGGAAGTAATTACGGAGGCTGTAGGAGGCGCACACTTCGCGATTATGCATGGTGAGCGCGCTCAGGAAGCCACGCCCACCATGCTTTCGCGGCAAGTACAGCCTCATTACCGACGATCTCGGATGATGCATCCTATGGGACGTCATGGTAGTGCGGACTTTTCTATCCAGGGCGTTAAGTTCGGTCTGAGTCCACCTGAGTATGCCAAAGGTATACATGAGGACAGGCATGACCCAGCCGTTATATGCGTGTGCCTTATTCACACTGGACAAAAGGCTGTTAAGCACTTTGGTCAAGCGTGCATAAAACGTGTCGCAAACTGACTGTTTCATACCAGCCTCATCGATACCGATGTTCTGTGACATACCCAGGTATCGGTATGTTTCAGCCTCGGAAAGGGTCCTTAAGTTGACGGGCATAGATAAGTCTATGCCCTCAGAGTTAGCAACCCTACCCCTCTCAACATGGAAGACCGCACGCTTATCCGTCCCCAGCTCCATTCCAATAGAATTGCTAAATTCACAAGTGATGTTTAGCAATTCCATAAGATGGGAGCGACTGGAGGCGAATAATTTGAGGTCATCCATATAGAAAAGGTGGGTCACTTTTGTACCTCCTTTCCGAAGCTGAAATCCCCTCCCGGAACCCTGCAGTAAAGTACTGAGAGGGTTCAAAGAGAGGCAGAACCAGATTGGACTCAGACAGTCGCCCTGGAATATACCCCTTCTTATTCTTATGCGGCTTTCCGCAGCCGTCACCCGCTCGCCTAGATGACAGAGGATCGTACTCCACTGCCCCATACACTGCTCGAGGAAGTCTCGAACTGTACAGTCAATCTTGTACAGCTCGAGGACCCTCTTTAGCCATGTATGGGGCACCGAGTCAAATGCCTTTCTGTAGTCTATCCAGGCGGCGGAGAAGTTCCGACGGTTGCGTTTCACCACTTTGCCAATGACCGCGTCAATGAGGAGTGGTTCCTTGGTTCCACAACCGCCGCCCCGACATCCATTTTGAGCGCGCGACATCACCTGATTTGATTCCAGGTGACGAGTGATTCTCGCGCTCAAAATGGATGTTAGTGTCTTGTATATGGTCGGCAGATACGTGATGGGGCGGTATTTGCTCGGGTCTGTGGTAACCTGGTCTTTAGGAACCAAATGCGTGATCCCAGTAGTGAAGAGGCTCGGGAGCGACTTCTGGTTGAGAGCTTCTTGGAACTGTCGGGCGAGCACAGTGTGACACACCACAAACCCCTTCAGCCAGTAGTGATGCAGCCCGTCGAGTCCCGGACTTTTCCAGTTCGGGCCCCTACGGACCGCCTCAGCTACGTAATCAGGTGTTATAATGACGGGGTCCAAGGGCGTTATACTCGCACACTGACTCGCCACAACTTCCGTCCAAGGGCCCTCGCTGTGGTTTATGGGCTCTGACCACAGGCCGCGCCAGAATGCTACAGTGTCGGCCTGATTCGGTGCTGGGCCCGTTCCACTTACCATTGGTCGCTCCAACGATTTATAGAGCCTCTTCTGATCACTCTGGAAGAGACGATTCTGGTTAAACCGTGTCGACCTCTCGGTATATCGCCGAATCCGCTTTCCCCAAGCAGCGATTCTCTGCTTCAGGTCGTTTATGCGCTCCGTCAGTTTTTGCATTATATTCGGCTGGGACAAACTAACATTTGTCCCAGCAAATGCCATCCTGACGGTGCGCACAATCCTTGGCCTGTTGTTGCCTGACCTGAAGCGTATCAGTCTGCCGATGAGGGCCCTAGCCTTTGCGATACGTTCTTCAATTCTTATTCTCCAGGCTGGGATAGCGCTACTTTGTCCGGTAGCGCGTCCAGCCGTGGAAAGTTTGGCGCCTATAATACGGCACACTGCCAGTGCGGCGCCAAAAAGAATTGAGTCCGTCTCGCAAAGGTCCCGGCTGGCTTCCAAATAGGTCACCAGCATTGGGTTCAGAGCCCTCACGACAGCCCGATTCCGCTTGCTTAGGGCTATGCGGGGAAGTCGCGGTCGATTTTCGAAAGGCGTACTGCGCGTTTCCACAATCGCCTCTTCCAATGTACTCCTCATATGCTCTAATTCCAGTTCCTGGGCGACTGTTCCATCATCGTTTGAATCAACCACAACTGGGGTATTCACGGCGGCATTCACGTTTGCGGGTTGCTCTGCAATTTGTGGCGCCGCATCCTCAGCCGTAGCATTTTCATCCGATGAGGGAACAGCCTCACGTCGTAGTCGTGCGAGTTCGGCGACATCAAATATATTTGAGCGCAAGATATACCGAACCCGGTCTGCCAGGTTTTGCTCTGAGACGGTTAAAGATGGCTCCAGCTCAGCAAAAAGACGATGCATCCTAGCCCGATACGCCAAACCTCCAACTTCTCCCCCTTTCGCCCTAAAATACGCCCGCAATGCGTTAGTATTCATTTCGGTTGTCCATCGCATGCGGCGTACTCCACCAGTGGCGGGTGCCGATTGCTGGGCCCGCGAAGACCCTGCCGACACCAAGCCAGCTGGTGGGGATGATGGATGCGAGGGGCTGATGGGTGGTCGTGCAGCACCTCTCGCTCGGCTGGCGGTTCGCATGCTGTCGCGTCCAGCGCCAGCTCCAGACGCGCCCTGGCGACCTCCAGGCAGCGGTCCTTTGCGCGTTTTTGCATATTCCATCATCCATAAAAGTGGGCGTCATTTAACGGGAGACGCCCAGACCCGGCGCCGTTTTATGGTGGGGCCATGTGCACAAGCGGGCCTTTGCGCCTTTAATTTTTGCCGAGGCACGGCACTAACACCTCTTGGCAAGGTGCTGACTGACTGCACTGACGTAGTGGTTTTGTCACATAACCGTTACGTCAGCGGGCGATGGGGTCGTCACTTCCCTACGCCATTTATTATTATTATTATTATTATTTAACAACCGTACAACATTACACTAGACTAGAAGACTTCATCTTTCTAAAGCCATAACTTTCTGCATATAATCTGCTCAAATGAAAAAAAACCCCTTGAAAAAAAAACCTAAAACATTAATTTTTCGATGCGAATCGATTATGCTTTTAATGTATTTGTGAAAAGAGAAATAATAATCATGTTTTTTAATATTCTAACGTTTTATTAGAAAAGAATGACATATTATATTACTAGTTGAAAAAAGTTAGTAAGAGAAAAAATAATTTATTTAATTAATCATAACTTTTCCTTTTCTTTTGTATAGCTCTTTTTTAAGGAAGGCTTTTCTTTTCAGAAACAAAAGCTAGGGGTAAAAGAATTATACAAAACTCACTATTGGTATTTTAATTAATTGAAGATTTATAACCGCGTGGAATGTAGTCTTAAGTGTAAAATAATATAACATTACGATCATTTGCGGCTGATCGGTGAAATAAAGCAGTTTGACAAATGGATATTTCACGAACTGAGTGACGCGCTGCAAGAGGTCAAATAGGACACGGGTCTAGGCTTGTGGCATATTACTGAATTAACGTAGAAAGGGGAGAGTTTTGAGTCGAATTGTTACCAAAGATGAGAAGTGGATGCTACTCGTCAGTCGTAGCGTTCATCACAGTGCTATGATCATGGCATACAATATTCTCTAGTTCGATCCGATATTTCGTTAAAAATAAATCAAAAAATTTTGATCCGAATTGTTATCATAGATGAAAAGTGGATCCTACACGTCAATCGGAGCGTTCACAGGGATCATACCATAACATATCAGACCATACCATACCAGTTAAGTCTATATTTAGTTAGCAAACAATAGGGGACTGATGGCACCTTATTAACGATTTTATTGCAGTAGGGTAATATCGCGCAAGGCAAGGATCAGTTAAGAGAGTTGACAGCTCCGTGGAATAGTGGCTTAGCAATGATTTGCGGCGCTTAGGGTCGCGGGTTCGAATCCCGCACGGAACAAGTATTTGTATGGCCTACAAATAATTGTCTCGGGAATGGATGATTGCCCTTGTGAAATTCATTTACTTAAACTGATTCCACGATATAGGGAGAAATCCTAAGGTACCATTAAAAAAAAGGAAGAAAAGAGAGTGTCCTAATATGCATTTAGATTACATTCACTTAATGATTTCTTATATTTACGTGAATGTGGTCTCTCTTATATAGGACAAACCAAAAGATCAATTAGGACCCGCGTAAAAGAACATATAGCTGATGTGAAGCATCAACGTTCCGGGAAGTCTGCAGTTTGTGATCATATCCTAGACGGCCCCAACCATTACATCAGATTTGATAGACCACAAATCCTCGCGAAAGAACACCAATTCCTACCAAGGATGATACGTGAGGCTATTGAAATTAAAAAACATCCTAATTTCAATAGAGAATGAGGCTGGGTACTACCACCTGCTTGGAATCCTATAATCAATAAAATTAAAACTAAACCCAAGCATACCACTGCAAGACCTCAGGACATAGTCAGTTCATTTTGCATAGATCGGACCATAAACAATAATTAAAAAAGCTGAAGGTTCTCCGGGTTTAACAATGACATCGGGACGTCAGTCATCTCAGTCCCCCCCGTGACCATGGGTGCTGGAAAGCGCCCGAAACGTCGGGAATTAAAAATAAAAAAGTAAAAATAAACGCGATAAAATCCGTAAAAGTAGTTTTAATTACATTCACTTTCTAATTTCTTTCCCATTTGTGCTTTGAAATTCAAACGTCAGAATTACCATTTAGTATAGTGCGATACCCACTAGAAACTATTTGGTGTTGTTACCTTTTATTACTCGCCTCCCAAAATAACTATGCCTCATATGTAAATATCAGCCACCGATAAAGCCCGCCCCGTCCAGGAAGTGATGCGAAAATGAATCCAAGTTATACATACGATACAGTTAGCAGTTGTCAGTTTAACCGACGTGCAAAGAGGGTTATGCTATCACAGTTCCTTTAACAATGGCGTCTGTGACAACAATGAGCTACTGGAAATTGAATTTTCAACGTTTTACTCCGCGTTATCACGGCTGCGAAAACTTTGGAGTTAATCAATTTGATTAATGATATAAAGGTCTTTTTTAAAAAATCAGGTCGTTGCGTAGTGGAATCCCACCGAGATAAAAATAATTTTTAATAATTAATATACATTTTATCAGTCGTTATAATTAAGTTATTTAAAATTATCCCACTTTATATGTGAAAAGTATTTCATTTAACTGTACTTAATAAGGTACGTCAGCTGAAAAGTTCCTTACATAACATAGTTTGGATGATTATTAAAACAGATTATTATTAAACAGTTGTCTTTCAAGATTATAATATAATTTTACTAAAACCTTTTTACACATTAATCTAAAAATCACAAACGTATAATTAATAATTTTAACCTTAGGAAGGCAACAGGGGTGACCCGTCACCCCACTACTCGAAAAAAGTTTAAATATTTTAATAAAAAATAAAAATATAAATTTCTTTGCAACTTTCCGCTACTTTTTGTTTGCGGAAAGTTGCAAGAAATTTTTTTTTTTTTTGGCCTTTTAAATATTTTGTTCGTGTTGTTTTTGTTTCTCTCCAATGCTCGATCTATTTTTCAATTGGAGTGAATGCAATCAGTTACGTACGTCAACGTGTTACAGTAAGTTTTTATTTTTGTTGTATTGACATTGGTGGGGTGACTCGTCACCCCTGTTGCTTCTTACGTAAGTAAAATTTGTTTGTAATACTGTTCTAAATATTTGGTTTTTGAGGTGAAAATGGCTTCGATTTCGGATGAACAGTATCGAAACTATTTGCAAGTTTGTAACTTTGTATGTGGAGTCGATACTTTCAACAAAATAGTGTATACGTATAGTTCGGCTAGCAATACCAGACGTAGGCCGCTTCTCTAATTCTATTGTACGCTGGATCAGGCTGGTGTCAATTCAATGTTGCTTTATATTGACACTAAAGATTAGAACACTCCTTCCAACATATTCCGAAGCAGTTGTTTAAATAAATTCGGTTTACAATTGGCGCAACCGCACATGAGGGATCATTTGAGTACAAATTTGCTGCGAGTATTAGGAGTCATTTTACGTGATATTCGAAATATAACCCAGAACCCTCCTTAAGGTAAGCCCGGTGCAAAGTTGCAGAAACAAGCAAGATGTGCACGGTGTCCAAGAAAACGGAACAAAAACTTAAAAACTTTTGGCCAAAAATACCTTTAGCCCACTTGCGCTGAACATCGCGAAGATATTTGCTTGATCTGCGTTTAATGCCAAAAAATTATCGGTGCAATAAACACTATTTTCATATTCCTAATTATATTAGCGATTGGTTTCGTAATAAATAACTTTGGTTTTCTCAAACATTGCAGTTTAATTTGAATTTAAAAAATATGGGGTGATACGTCACCCCTGTTGCCATTTGTGTATGCAAAATAAAAAGTGCTGCCTGCCGAAGATTAAATTTAACAAAGTTTTTCTTTAAAGACTATTCGTCTACGCTACTTAATGGTATGTTTTATTGCATAATGTTATTTTTAATGGAATTCTTCTATATTATAATTATATTATATTATATTTCAATTAATATTATAATAAGTTTTAATTGATATATTTATTTTTGGGTTAAATTAAGCCAATGTTCGTACAAAGCAAATATTAATTTTAATATAAATTTCACAGCAACAATAGGACAAGTAACGTTACTGGAAAAAATTCTAAGGCATAGCTTACTGAAAACTCTTTTTTTTATTTTTTCTCTGTATCTTTTAAACCACACAGCAGCCGTGAATGTCATGGCGAGTTCTAAAAAAGATAAGCCAGATTTAATCCTAATTTGTTACTACCTAACTGTTGCTGTTATTAGTTAAGTACAAATAATCATCCTATATACTGTACTCGCAAGAAAAAGAAATTAATTACAAAAGTGAAACTATATATTCCGTAATGATCAATTAAATTTATTGTCTCGTAAATAAAATCTAGTTGATACTAATTTAGAACTATAAGGTGGTCGATATTATTATCATAAAGGAACTCGATAAAGACTTCGAAATAAACCAGGCGCAATCTATACTATGCTTAAGAATTCCACTACGTCACATTTGGTTTTCCGCTAATAAAATACGTTGCGTATATAACGTGATGTATGCCACTGGCACAGAAACAAACTTCTAAATTCAATAGTTTCAATGTAATTCTATATTACTTTCAATTTATATTCTTAGCACTTTTTCTAATCAGCGACCAAAATCGCTAATAGCAGAAAGAATATTACTTACCTCAAATAGTCAAGTTCGTAGTGAAAAATGAAATCAGGACGATGGGCACTAATAAAATTGAAAAGTGTAATTTTAGTATTGATATATGTCGTGCGCGACAGTAAAAAAATATAGCGAGATGATCTTTGAAGAGTTTAAATATTTTGGAAAGGTGTGATGTTCGTTTAATTTCATGAAGAAGAGATAATAGTCCCACTATTCTAAGTTGTTATTTTATTTATAAGTAAAAATATTAGTATTTTTTATCACCATTTTTGGTAGGTAGGATGGTCTTTGTAGAAAATAAACAAAAGCAGACACGACTGCTTTTTTGAATTTTGAATATTTTATATTCCGTAATCGCGTACTGGATCAAATGTGATATGGTTTTTAGTCTACGATTTTTTTTATAGGATAGGGTGACAAACGAGCACATAGTCCACCTGATGGTAAGTGGTTGCTGGAGTCC